TTTTTTTTTTGGGCGAAAAATTAAGTTTCTCCAATCTTCCCAAATTCTGATAGAGGGCCATGAGACTTAGACCTGAGTGCAAAAATGGAGGCTCTAGCCCCTTCCAGAGCTGAGATATCGAAACTCAAAAATTCGGCCCGAAAAAAAAACGACAGTGGTACCCCTTACGTTTTTTTTTTTTGGGCGAAAAATTAAGTTTCTCCAATCTTCCCAAATTCTGATAGAGGGCCATGAGACTTAGACCTGAGTGCAAAAATGGAGGCTCTAGCCCCTTCCAGAGCTGAGATATCGAAACTCAAAAATTCGGCCCGAAAAAAAAACGACAGTGGTACCCCTTACGTTTTTTTTTTTTGGGCGAAAAATTAAGTTTCTCCAATCTTCCCAAATTCTGATAGAGGGCCATGAGACTTAGACCTGAGTGCAAAAATGGAGGCTCTAGCCCCTTCCAGAGCTGAGATATCGAAACTCAAAAATTCGGCCCGAAAAAAAAAACGACAGTGGTACCCCTTACGTTTTTTTTTTTGGGCGAAAAATTAAGTTTCTCCAATCTTCCCAAATTCTGATAGAGGGCCATGAGACTTAGACCTGAGTGCAAAAATGGAGGCTCTAGCCCCTTCCAGAGCTGAGATATCGAAACTCAAAAATTCGGCCCGAAAAAAAAAACGACAGTGGTACCCCTTACGTTTTTTTTTTGGGCGAAAAATTAAGTTTCTCCAATCTTCCCAAATTCTGATAGAGGGCCATGAGACTTAGACCTGAGTGCAAAAATGGAGGCTCTAGCCCCTTCCAGAGCTGAGATATCGAAACTCAAAAATTCGGCCCGAAAAAAAAACGACAGTGGTACCCCTTACGTTTTTTTTTTTTGGGCGAAAAATTAAGTTTCTCCAATCTTCCCAAATTCTGATAGAGGGCCATGAGACTTAGACCTGAGTGCAAAAATGGAGGCTCTAGCCCCTTCCAGAGCTGAGATATCGAAACTCAAAAATTCGCCCGAAAAAAAAAACGACAGTGGTACCCCTTACGTTTTTTTTTTTGGGCGAAAAATTAAGTTTCTCCAATCTTCCCAAAACTCTGATTCTGAAGAGGGCCATGAGACTTAGACCTGAGTGCAAAAATGGAGGCTCTAGCCCCTTCCAGAGCTGAGATATCGAAAACTCAAAAATTCGGCCCGAAAAAAAAACGACAGTGGTACCCTTACGTTTTTTTTTTTGGGCGAAAAATTAAGTTTCTCCAATCTTCCCAATTCTG